TACCCTCCTGTAACATCTCACAATGTGAAGTGCATACCTTAGTGACCAATAAAGAGAAGGTCTCATTGGATTGTTGGATGACGTTGTAGGTACTGGAGCTCCAGAAGAGGGTGCAACTGGGGAACTTTGGCAACAAAGTGACTTCTCACATAAGCCGCATCAATCGAAGGATTCTGGATGGCAGCTGGCAGACGGGCCACCCACTGAGCGAATTTGCTCAGCGTATTTAAGTATTTAAGCCAGTTTAAGTTTACTTAGTAGCAGACATGTATTTTGAAGCAACAACTGTTCATTAATCCCACCCTTCTCAGCAGCACATACCTTTTCTTCACTTCACATGTGTAAGATCTATCAAGTAGTTTGGGATGAATGGAAAAGTTAATATGTGCTGCTATCAGTCTAGGTTCACACCTGCACTATGCAGGCAGCGATTGCCTGGTGGCCGGGTTGATTTCAATGGGGGTGACAACCGCGCGGCAATCTCAGAAAAAAGGTACCAGTCCCTTCTTTTTGTGATACATGGCACGCGTCTGTTTTATCCGCAATCGTGTTCGGAAGCACGGGCGGAATTGCAGCGGGAAACCACGCGATCCACCCGGCGCGACTGGGGCGCCATTAGATAATAATGGCACCCACAGCGCGATTGATTCACACTTTGGTGACTCCTGATTGCCACGCGGAATGGTGCACGATTGCCATCCAGTGAGGTGTCGCCTAGGTGTGAACTTAGCCTAAAAAGGTGGTCATTAAAGTGAACCTGTGTGAAGCCAAACTCAATCCAAAACGTACTTTACATGGTACAGTTGAGAACGCTTAGAGCCTCTCTCCGGTTTGTATTGCCTTATGTGTCCCTGCTGGGAAGAGTTTTCTTCACTTCCTGTCAGGAAAGGATAGCTCTTCAGCAGGGACAAAACCACAATTTAGCACAGCGGGGAAGGACTAGAACTTCTGATAATGTTTTATAACGGTCTGCACTTTCTTGTCTCGGTGACGAGGGCTCCCCCATTTCTTGGCCTGCTGTCAAGGAGACGGAAATTAAGGGGAAATCTCTAAGAATCTGAAAGAACTTTATCCAAAACCTAGGAATTTTTAAATTATTCTAATTTTCCAAGTTGATTAGTATGTTTGTTTATAGAAAGCAGCAGCACAGTGCATGACACCAACACTGCAGAGCGGAACCAGTCCTTTTGTAATATACTCAGAAATGTGTATTTAAGGGAAAAAAGCATTCAACTGGCTTATAAAACTGGAGTAAAACAGAACTTGTTTAACCATATTTAATTATTCATGTTTTATCTTTTAAATAAAACAAGAAATGTGATTTGTGGCCATCAACATCACTTCCACTTTTGAGCCAGCCATCATAAACCTGCCCCTTTTATGCAGTATAGAAGTATAGCATCCATCTGCTCTCATGATGTTGTGGCTAAAATTCACCTGATGTGGGCTTGTTGCACACTATGGTGCTCTACATTGATTTATTAGCTACAGGGGAATACATTTATAGTGTATCCATTTTTTTTGTTTAGTGAAGCCTGTCAAGATTGAAAAGTGTAAGCCATTTCTTGTTTTCAAGGTGCTTGCTCTGGCACTGTCATTATTCACCTTCTTTCACTACAATGACCTGGAACAGACATGTGCATAAGAGGTGTCAAGGCACTAGATATGCTCATGCATTTTCCTGGTGAGTGACTTTAGAAATTGTAAAAAAAAAAAAATCTTATTTGCAGTTTACTAGTCCTTAGATGTGGTAGCTTAATTTGTTTTCTTTAATCAGGCTTTTGTCCATTATGTTCAAGTGGTGATACTGGCAGCACCACACTCGCTGTCCTAGTGTGACAACACTCACTACAATCACTGTAGTGTTGTTGCTCCGTATTTGAACTACAGAAAACCCTTCTCATCATAGAGGAAGGTGTTCTGTAGTTTTCAAGGATAGCTGGACAGGGTTGATAACCCTGCTTGGAATATTAATGCAGCTGAGGCAGAGAGCATGGAAAGATAGCCCTTTGTGGTAGTCCCAGTTAGTGTATTGGTGACCTATTTTCCACCTTCAATAATTATAATGGAAGAGGAAGTTCTCGTCTTCCTCCGATAGTAGGCTTGAGTCTCCCACTCCCTTTCCACATTGTTAGAGGAGCCTGTCCTTGAGTTAAACTCTGGTTTCTTGTGTTTGATTCCTTACTCTTTCCTTACTCTTTCCTGGCTCATTAGTCCCAAGTGCTGGCTTTAACAATGCCTTAATAGTTCTTAAAGGAGAACTATGGGGTTAAGGCCATAGTTCTCAGGGTAACGGGAGGACACAAACTAGCGTCCTCCCGTCACCCTAGGCTCAGTATACCGCGAGCTGCTGCTCCCGGTAAACTGAGACGCCGCAGCTGAAGCGGATCCAGACAATTGTGCCGGGATCCGCCCAGCTGCGTGACTGACAGCTGGCTCTGCCTATCTAGAGGCAGAGCCAGCTGTACCCGCCCCCTCCCCCGTCCGTTCCGCCAGTCAGCGCTGGCGGATCGGAGCGGGGAGGGGGGGAATCCAGCCCCTCCCCTGTCACGGCAGAGAGCCGTGACAGGATCGAGAGGTGAGCGAACGCCGGTATGTGTTCGCTCACCTCCCTATCTACTGAGCCGACCTGTGACAGTCTCGTTGTCACAGGTCGGCTAGAACTATGAGGATGAGTGAAAAGCACTCACCTCATAGTTCTCCTTTAATGTGCAGCCTCCAAGCTTGCTAAAAATCTTAATTCACTGGAGCCATTTTTTAAAATGTATTTTATTTTTTATCCGATTAACCGATTAATCGAACTTAATAATCGGCTAACTAATCGATTTTGAAAATAATCGTTAGCTGCAGCTCTAATGTCAAGCCAATCTTGTATCTAAAAGCTCGCTTTGTCATCATTTAAGAAGTTAATTATTGCCAAGGTTCAAACCATGGAGAAGTATAAGCCCTCTCATGGCTAGTTGAAGCATCCACCCTCTTCTCATATCTCTTGGGTTTTATCTGCCAATCCACTGGGGAGAGTCCCATGTGGTCAGCATAAGAAGAATTGATGACACAGAAGGCAATAAAATCACTTTTGTTTAGTGGAGTGGGGAAGGGTTAGAACCACTGTCGGGTTTCTTTTGCAGTGTGTGCGTCTGCCGAGGACATACTATACTTTTCACTTCAAACTTGGTCTCAAATGGATAAGAAGTGATGAGAAATCAAGAATAAACACCTTGTATAGTTTCTAACACTTGCCTATCTATCCACAGCAAAGAATGCTTTAAAAACCTTTTATTTGGGATAGATTGGCAACCATACATTGGTAGGCTGAGCTTCCTGTATTAGTAGCAATGCACAGCAATTGTACTTTGCTATCCTCTTCTTCAGTGCAAATCTGTCATTCTACTCAGACTGATTGATAGCAATAGACCTTGACTTGTCCTGTAATCTCTGTTGACTGATGAAAGCTGACTTCTGAATAGAGCTAATGACACATTAATTAATGAAAAGCTCAAGGCCAGCCTTCTAGACAGACATGCCAAATTCCTAAACATATGGCAGCCATGGCTTGGTTATGTCCATCCACAGGACCCAAACTGAGAATTCATTTTTTTTTTTTTAATGAAGCGGTATCCTGTCTCCATACTGTCCAGGCTACATGGGATAGAGTGTTTTCCCCTCTGTTTTCTCTTTCTCATCACCTTCTGTAATACCTTATCTTCTCTTATCTTTTTAGCCTTAATTTCATAACAGCTCTTTCTGACCCACTAAATTTGCTTTCCTACTTTTGCAGGTACAAAAAGGATCAGGCCATCCATACTTGATATTTCAGATTGTGGTGAATGTTTAAGACTTAAACCACCAGACAATTTCTTGTTTCTTTAAGAGACTCTATTCAGATTTCTGTGCTTTGATTCAGGGTCTGCGTATCTCATGAGACCGTTTTGAGGAGTTCCTGCTCTCCCAGTCAGATTTCTTCCAACAGATTATATTCTAGAGAATGCAACAGGAAGTTGGGGGACAGGAGCACCGAGAACTTTCCTGGTGCACTGGAAGAGAGTCAGGGACTATGGGAGACTCTTGTGGCTGGAGCATCCAAGACATGTAAAAAGCCAGGGGCTGATTCAACATGTCAGACTCACTAAAATATAACTTTTGGCTGCAGTTACTCTTGTTGTAATGAACATTGTACAGTATATCTTGAGGCTGACTTGCTGTCTTTTTAAAGCTGAACTCAAGTTAAAAGCTAAATACACAGGTAAAATAAACATGTTTTAACGGTCTTACCTGCCAAAGGATTTGTAATTCTGTCTGTCCACTTCTGTGGCTCTGCCAGACACCACAGTTAGGGGGGTGACACCACTATCTCTGTGAAAGTTACGGAATCCAGTGATCATACTTTATTGCGCTTTCATGTACCTTGCCTTCTTAACAAAAAAGAAATGAAAACACAAATACTCTTGTGGGTGAATGCAGATTTCTAATATTTTTCTGCGCAGTATAAAGGTGGCCATATACTTTACAACCCTCGCAAGACAAAAGTCTTGCGAGGATTGTAAAGTAATAAAAAAAAAACGTACGATCTGCCCATCTTGGACCGGCAGATCATGCTTGCGATCATCACAAGCCCTCCCCCCTGAGGGGCGGGCTTCTGATGACTGAAATGCTGAACGGGTGCGCACACCGGCCCGTTCGGCATTTGTCTCCCGATCATGCTAAAAACCAGCCGAAAATCGTACGATTCTCGGCTGGTTTTCCAACATGCTCGAAATACAAAAGTCGTGCGACCATACAGTAGAAACGGTCGCACGCCTTCCATACACTGCGCGATTCTCGTACGATAATCGTGCACTGTATGGGCACCTTTACTCTTTGCATTATGTTAGATAAATCTCGCTGTATTCCAGTAACAATGTCCACCGTGATTATACATGTTGTTCTTTTTGTTTTTAAATACTATAGTAATGAGACGAAAGGATTGTGTTAATGAATATTGGATATTTTTGTTTTTTCAGGTATACAGGAGTTTCCAGAAAACATTAAGAACTGTAAAGTTTTGACAATCGTCGAAGCAAGCGTCAATCCAATTTCTAAGTAAGTTTTGAAACGTAATCACATCTTTCTGTTATGCACTTTAAAGCCAAACTGAACTTTCAGTTTAAATTCGCTAAATACATTTCGGATGCATTAAAACAAAAGTGTTCAAAAAATTAGAAAGTATTTTCCGTAGAAAGCACCCACATCTTGTTTTCCGATCATCAGGGAACATGAGCTTTGATAAATGCAGAGCTCTAGCTCTGACACTGCAAGAGGTGTGTTGGACCTCTGTAGGGAGACCACTGCTTTCACACATAGAGCAAGGGACCTTCTCTACAGTATGCTGGAGGGGGCAGGATTTTCTACTGTAAGGAAAAAACAAACTATAGGACTTTGAACACCCTTTGTTTTGATGTGCCTGGAATGCATTTAGTTTTAGTTAAACAGTCAGCAGTACTGCAGCTTTGAGTAAATGTTTGAAGACCTACGCACAGTGCCTGTGACCGAGCGGCCAGTCTTACAGATTGATTTTTTTTTTTTGGCATGAGTGCAACAATACAGAATATCACATTGCTGAGCATTCTGAACACTCTGCACATAGTACAAATACAGTACATATGAAGTAGCACAGAAAAATAACCGTTGGTGTCAGGGGGAAAAAAACAGTGTCATCAATACAGAACCTGCATCAGAGGCACTCCATGTTTAGGCTATAAGACAGGTAAGGGGGGAGTAAAAGCAGGTAGTGGATGGGGGATAAAGAAAATGTACAGTGAAGGGGAAGTTCTAAGACTAAAGGAGAGGGGAAAAACAAACTATCATTAGACTGTGCAGATCACAGGCACAATGTACAGAGCCAGTAAGTGTGGCTCTGTGCCTTGTGATTGCCAATCACAGTAATCATAAAGGTAAACTCTGTGCGTGTGTTTATATTTGAGAGGCCTCCCCATCCTCTCACAATGGAGGAAGGAGAATTAAAGAAAGTTAGGTAGGCAGCAGCATATTTAAGGTTAGGGATTTTAATGAATTTAAATGTGGGATCGTTTTTTAAACCTCCCTCCCCTCCTGTGAATTCTACATCATCTTCTTGTCTCTCTATGTGACCTTTATACTAATACCTTTAGCTCCCTTATCCTGCACATTAACCCTCTCATCTCCATCATCCCACTGTATGTGGCCTGTACATCCCCCCTCTCCATCATCCTACTGTATGTTGCCTGTACATCCCCCCTCTCCATCATCCTACTGTATGTTGCCTGTACATTAACTCCTTCACCACCTCCTCCCTCTGTGTATGATCTGTACATTAATCATGCACAGTATCTAGTGCACTGTTACCAAGCTCCATGTTTTAAAGAAACTTGTGCCATCTCTGAATGTGTTACTTTATTTGTCACTGACCCAAGCAAGCATGCAGATCAAGAGAGTAGTCACATCCCAAATGTGTGTTCTGGATTAGTGATTGAAGTAACAATAATGCCTCTGGATAGGCATGGCAGCCAGGGTACTAGTATTTTCAGAAGTACAGGTCAGCAATGGCAGCCTCCATACTTCCAAACTATGGGTTTCCTTTAAGGAACAACTTGTGGTGTTTTGTCTTATTTCCATTTTGACAACATCAATTTAACTACTTCAATACAAGCATGTTTCTTAATTTACAAAAACAATTGTTGCAAAAAATGAGATCGCCCTGGGTGTGTCTACTTTCCAAAATGGGGTCTTTTGGGGGTGTCTGCACCGTGCAGGCATTTTTATTTGTAAAAAGTAATGGAAACTATTTTTTCCCAAAATGTGTGGTCTTTTTTTACTTTTATGTAGTAAAAAATAAAAATCCCAATAGTTTTTAAATACGACCAAAAGAAAACTATGTCTGTCTGAGTAACTGTCAGTGAAACTATCACAGCACTGAACATTTTTTTCTTGGTATTGAGGTGGTTAAAAAGCCACAGCCTAAAGCCACAGTAAAACGCCTGCCCCCTGCCAGTATTCTGCAGAGTTGGTATCCTTGCTCTCTGTGGGGAAGCGGTGATCTCTCTTCAGAGGTCTAACGTGCCCCCTGATGAGTCAGAGCTATCCATCGGCAGGGAGCATTAGGGTTGTTGATTGCAGCGCTATAGGCCTTACTCAGTAAGGCGCATGTCTGTCCTCTGTATTGCTTCCCTACAGTTAACACCGCTCAAATAAATCTGAATGCAAAACTGACTTGTATAGATGGAAACATTTTTTGTGTGCTGTTTTCTATTTAGTATCAGTTGAATGTGACTCCACTTTAAATTCAGGTTATATTTACTGCACCTAAACTTAACCTGCTGAAAATTATAGATCAGTGTGCATATCAAAATGGCAAAAGAGAGCGTTCTCATTCATGTAGAAAACCTACGGTATATACAGACATGGATGAATGTGTCAGTAGCCTTACAACGCATTGAAACAATGCTTCATTCCTCCTGAAAAGTGATTACATTAGGAGCAATTGTCTCAGGTTTACCTGTATGCCTTTGATATGTGAAAGTGTGAAAACAGATGCATTATTGCTTTTTCTACAAAGATATTCTAAAATAACCTGGACAGAAGTTTAGAAATGACTGGATTATAGTGATATTGTATACTGTTTTCTGTCATTCGTATCACACATGTCAAAATCTTGTAATCAGTCAGTCAACCTAATTGAATGGAGAAAAGTAGTCCGTTTGCTGTTTATCATTGTGAACACCATATTGCACACCAAAAAGCAAAGGAGAGAGTTGTCTGAGCAGATCACAAAGTTATAGAAGTAATAGACCAACATATCAAAAGTAGGGATGCACCGATACCGAGTATTTGGGCGATTACATGTACTCGCCCAAATGCTCTGATACTTACCCCCTATGCCGGAACTTCTGGTCAGAGGGAGATATCTCGAGACTATTAAGGAATTATGGAGTGAAACGTACTTCCCAGAGTTATAAAGCTCTGTCTCAGTCCCAGATCATGGCTCCTCCAAAAAGACAATGACCCAAAATATACAGCTAAAAGCTCCCAAGAATGTCCCAAAACAAAACAGCGTACTATTCTAAGCTGGTCTTTTTGAGCTCTGATCTGAATTCCATCGAACGTCTATGGAAAGAGCTGAAACATGCAGTCAGGAGAAGGCAAAGAACCCTTCAATCCTGAGACAGCTGGAGCAGTTTCCTGAAGAAGAGTATGCCAAACTACCTTCTGGTGCAGAAGTCTCATTGAGGGCTACAGAAATCATTTGTGATTGCCTCTCTGGGCTTGTTCACACGACGTCCGGATTCTGTCCTGACCAGATCCGTGTGCTCCTGCACTAAAAATGCATCCCAATGTATCCCTATGTGTTTTATGGGCTACAGTTCTCACGTGCGCAGTCCGTTCTGGTCACTGCATGTCACATTTTGTCCTGGCGCGGGAAATGGCCGCAATTTAAAAACGGGCAGCGATGCCCGTTAATATACATGCGATCACAGCCGGCGGATCGCTTGTATTTAGCGACGATCGGTGCTTACTTTTGTTAAAATAAGCATTTTTGCACTACTGAGGCTAGCAACATTAACAGCAAAGATTTGTAATCAATGGCTGTATGAGGATGTCAATATGAGGTCTTCTAACATGATATGAGTGTAAATTATTGCTAAGATTAGGGCAATAAAACACAATTGTACGGCCTTCTCTGTGCACTATTTTAACAACAAATGGATTATAGAGCAATTTGTGGAATATGTTATCTTATCTGGCTATACAGTGGAGTGCTTGGAGTAGGTCACATGATCTCCATGATTAACTGTAAAGAAACAGCAGGAATTAAGCAGTTTATCAAACCTTTCTATTACTCAAATAGGCTTTGCTAATTGCCATTGGTTTATAATGTCCTCTAAATCACCATTATTGTCAGCTCAGCATTACATGATGTATTAACCAATACAGCTTACGCGATGAAGAAGGCTAGACTAAATCGGTGAAAGTATTAGTGTTGCAGGTCCCATACGTGAACAATTACAGTATATAACTGACATAAATTATTTATTTCTGCATTAAGCTGTGCAATGTTTCCTTAAAATCTGGAAGTATGTTGTTTAGGACAGACCTACAGATTTCCTGTGGGGTGTTGGTATGGTTAGGCAGTGAGGGATCATGGGTTTGGGTTGTAGAATTTGTTATGTGGGTGGGCTATCAGGAAACTGTGAAGGGCGAGCTGTCAGTTGCAGGAATTAGATAATGGCACTTAGTGTAATGTAAAGCCATTTTTTTAAAATAGAGTAGGAAAGGATTTGAACCTTTGTCAGGTTCTCATTGCTGTCTGTATCTCTGCTGGGGAGATGCACCCCTATTTTGTCGCAGTGACCCATTGTCCCCAAGACAAAATGTGATGGCAAACGTAAACATTTTATTTGTAGCTAGAAAAGAAGTAGAGGGCAATATTTTCAATGGGCATACCTGTAATAGAGATTACCCCTCACTATGTTGTGTCAATGAAACAGGAAATAAAGGAAAATTTCCCCAATGGGACACAGGCAATTAAGGAGAAAAAAAACTCAGTGTTATAACCTTTCTCCAATTGAATCAACGCAGAAAAAAAGCTTTGGACTTAGATTTACTATAACACAGATATAGATATACCTACCACTATAGATATAATTGCAGCTTACAACATTTTCAGGGTTATTAACTAAAGGGTAAAGCGTTTGGAGAAGACAGGAGAAGTGAACAATGTAGGACAACATAGCAGAACTGGAAAGTGAGCTGAATTGGAGAATTTTCACAAATCATCTATTTTGGCCTAGATTGTTCACTTCTCCTGCCTTCTCCATACTCTTCACCCTTTTGTGAATAACCCTGTTTATCTCAGAGAAAGGGGCCATAAAGTATTTTCATAAGTATGGAGGTGCAAAATTACCAAAGGAAATGTAGCTTTTATCAACTAGAGAGAGCAGCTTGGGGCCTGGTTATTTTCTTAAAATGCAAAGGGTCTCAAGGAAGGAGTGATAGGCCACATGCATCGCAAAAATCTGTGTGACATACTTTTTCTTTTATAGTAAAAGGTTTACTTTGTCTCTCATAGTTGAGGTCTACCTATGATGCCAATTACAGGTCTCTCTCATCTTTTTAAGTGGGAGAACTTGCACAATTGGTGGCTGACTAAATACTTTTTTGCCCCACTGTATGTGCACAAGTGACGACACACTGGGGGTGATTTACTAACCTAAACACACGCACGCACTAGGTGCGTGTGATTTTTACACATCAAAACGTATTTATCAACCAAAAAGTCTCTAAAAGCATATTTCCACTAATGCCATATATGGAAAAAGCATGCACATGATGCATATATAATGCTGCTTCACAGTTTAGACAAAAATGGTTAGCTCATGCATTTACATTCCTGCATTCATCAACACAAGCAACATAATGTAGAGCTAATTTACACAACATCACCTTGCAATTCATGCTTGGCTTTGCATAACACACCTGCTGGGTGTGTACACACTACAAAGGTGTCTAGATTCCACCAATAGATCATGCTGGGAGGGAACACACTACAGAGGTGTATACTTGTTCATGGCGTGTTTATAAGGTTAGTAAATCAACCCCACTGCCACTCCGCACCTTATTACTAACCATGAGAGAACCTAAGCTGGGACTTCTATAAAAAGCAGGTTGACCTTGGTAGCTCCATCTTCCTTAAAGGAACCGCTACACACTAAGAGGTCCAGATTCACCCAAGGCAGCTAAGAATGGTAGTCTCTCAAATCAGTCTTTAACTAGCAGTAGTAGAAAGGTGCATGTCCGTGCAGTAAATGACTGTGTATTACAAACAATTTTCCTCTCCAGCCAGCTAGCCATCAACTGAAAGGGTATAATTATTACACTAATTGCCTTGAATATGAGCAATTTGCATTGTAACTATTAGTCTTTGGAAAATATAACCACCATCCACAACACTAACATTGATTTTTATATTCGTACCTACTGATAATAGGAATGTATGTATTTATTTTTGATGCAATCAAAGCTTACTTGAAGAAAATCCCTTTATTGAGTGCTGCCTTGTGTATGCCCATCACTTCCAACAATTTCCTGGATTCCCAGTATGCTTTACATCTATTTCTCTGCTGTTTAATGTGATGCAATCTTGATTTCCCAAGACTAGATATCCTTCCAGCAAGCAATGATAATGTTACATTGTTCAGATGTTGAGTTGTAGTTCAGAAGGCAGGCTTTTTTTGAGAGTGGTGACACAAGGAAGTGCATATTCACAGGACTGAGTGAAAATGTGTCAGTGCATTGAGGAAGTACATCCTATTGGCATCTTTTAATAAGTACGTTTACAAACTTTTAGCACAATATGGTTAGCAGTGGGCTGGAACTTATGGAAATTCCATAGATTCCCTTTTAAAATGCTGCTTTGCCCAAGTTTTAAGATGCCCATACACTGTTTAAATTTCCTCCAGAACCGGAAATGAGGAACTGGACGAAATTCACATGGTGTGTACTGCTGTCGGCACCCTTTGGATCGGCAAACTTCTAGATCAATATGGTTATTAGCAATGGGATAGAACTTACAGAAATTCAATATAGAAATTCCATAGATTCCCTATTAAATGCTGCTTTGCACTAGCTTTAAGGTGTGTGCCGCTGTTGGCACCCCTTCGATCGGCATCCCCTGATCAGCTAGCGGGAAGATCTTCGATGGATTAGAGCCGGCAGCCAATGCGCTGCCCGCTCTGATCAGGTATTCTGACAGGTGGTGGCAGCACCTGTCAGAATACAATGCAAAAAGTCATTGGGCTTAGAATGAGCAAAGTTTTCTATACATTTGTATATAGTAGAACAGTGTCCTTCAGAAAATGGCATGCTGTGGGTTCATATAATAAATGTAGCGTCGCACAGGGGCCGTGATAATTACCCTTTACTTAGATATTTACACTTCAGTGTCCTTATGCCTAGCACTTCCATAATCCTTTATCCCCCAGCGCTACATCTCTTTTATCTAAGTCTAGCCATTGATTAAACGGGTCTACATGGACCAAAAAGTAATTTTCCATGTTAATTATGCTGAGTCGCCCGATGTGACGGTTTTATATCCACAATTAATAATTTTGGCATAATCATTAGGGATCTGTGATCAGTTTTGCAGGGGATGCCAGCACATCTCATCAGCACCAAACTATTTCCTGTTTACCCATGGTTCTTGTTTATTTTCATTCTCTCCATAGACTTCCAGATGGGTTTTCACAGCTGTTAAACTTGACTCAGTTATACCTAAACGATGCTTTCCTTGATTTTTTGCCAGCTAATTTTGGCAGGTGAGTACAGAACCTTGTTCTTTTTATTTTGCATTATCCTTATGATTTATAGGAATTAATTTTCTATACTCTGACTTGACAATTTTACAAAATGGTTTAATATAACAGGCAATTTATATGCAGATGTGCTAACAAGCACATGGCTGGACTAAGCAAGATTTGTTTTATTCGGTACCAGGACAAACTAGTGGTGAGCAACTGATTTTTCCATAGGCGCCTTTAAAGATATACTCCGATTATAAAATTCTGGCATTAAAAGTTTCTTAAATTGAAACTTCACACACCCACCCCTATTTCATTTTTCTTTTAATCAAGTCTTAGCTGATTTGTCCTCAATTCACATAGTCACACTTGGCCAGTGAATCCAATACTGTTGTGCTGAACATGCCGGGCCCCTCACAGCCAGCCATCTTCCCTAACATCATTGGGTACTGAACCTCTTCCTGGTTCAGGCAGCCGGCACCTGATGATGTGCTTGCCAGGCCCGTCACCCTGCTCCGTTCACTGTGTGGCAGCCAAAGTTTATGATATGCCCATCACAGATCCCAGTAGGCACTTATAGTGGAGCAAGTCATTTTTGCCTAATATATGAGGATTTTCATGTTTCTGAGAGAGGATGGGTTAATGCAGAACTCCAGGAATTTTGTTTTTAACCTTTGCTGTGGGGCTGCCCCTGTACTGCAAGCGTTACATGCTCGTTTGTGTCTAGGTGTTTAAATGGCAAAGATATACTCACCCAAAGCTTCGAGCCGGCCAGCTGTCACGTCGCTCCTTCCAGCCTGTCCCCATCTCCACAGCATATTGGATCGTTCCTCAGCGTCCTCACGTCCATGCACACTATATAGACGTGATGATTTACTGGACCTTAGACTGCTGCAGAGGAGGGGGAGAGACATTCCAGGGACCAGTTTAAGAAGAAGCCAGCTCGGAGCTTTGGGTGAGTATATCTTTTTTTTTAAACCTAGACACAAACGAGCAGTTAACCTTTGCAGTGCGGGGGTAGCCCCACTGCAAGGGTTAACAAAAAAAATTTCTGGAGTAAAGCCGACAGTCGGCTCTACAAGTTTAAACAGAGTCCCGGCGGCAAAAGTCGCCGGGAGTCTGTTTAAACAGCCCCGATGCTGGCGACGTACACTGTACGTCGTCAGTCACGAAGGGGTTAAGGGGAGCATTTTTTTTCAGGTTGAAGGTCCACTTTATAGAACACAAAACCCCTGCAGTGTCTCTAACCTTCATCTTGCCATTTTTCTTCTCACCTGGCTGCTAGATAAGTCCCTATGGATGCTGATTTCCTTATCTTCTGAATTGCTCTAAATGTAAGTGACTGTCATTACAGGGTTAAAACAGAAGTTACCTGTAGAAGAAGAGGCTCTATACTGATCTCTATACAGCCTGTGTGTTGAGACGCAGCAGCAATGCTGCACGCATTTCACACTTCTGGTGTGTAGCATATCTGTTCCCATGCCGCATGCTGCCCAGCACACACATACTGCAGTGACATGCCAAGCCAGCTGCAGGAACCACCGCATGTTCACAGCAGTTCAACCCACCTGAATGGTCAAATACGTGCTGCAACTGAGGAGCAGCATCACAGCGGTATTTTCATACGCAGGCCTCCAGAAAGGCAGGTTTAGAGCTACTTTTACTAGTAATTTACTTCAATTTTGACCCTGTGGTGACAGTCAGTTAAAACCCTGCAAAAATTAATTATTCCCACCCCTGCCCACTGGAGCCCAACACATAACTTTTGTAGCTTGAGAGGTGGGTTGCACAAGATGATGTGCCTGCATCAGTACTTGGAAACTGATGAAATAAAACTCATTGTAATGATAAATGTAGTAGACGTGTGCTTGACACATAGCGGGATGAAAATAATTTGTGTCCTGAAATCTTTCTTTGCTGTCAGGCTGTAGCAAACATTTTAGTGTGCAATCCGTTTTTCAGTATAATCTTATGATGGAGTGTACAGAACGCTGACATTGCTGCTGGTGGTATACATCCTGAATGTTGTACAATGTTGGATGAAGAATATTGGGCTAATCTCCGCACCCAGTGGTGCTTAGAGCCTGTTGTCCGTGCTGGACTTGTAGATTATTTGGTTATTTATTTTCAGAGTGTGAGGACAACCCGCAGACCCTCAGAGCTCTGCCAACGGTTTGCATTATTGAAGTAAAAGAAGGGTTCACTTTTGCCGTTCTTATTACTTTTGCTTCTCAGTGTTCCAGTGTCCATGTTGTGGTTTATATGCCACAGTCAGTATTTTGTGGGGTCTGATAGACAAGTAGACACTATTAAACTCTACAGCTCTGCACAGCCAGCTGGTAAACTTAGTGCCATGGTTTCATATAGTGAACCCGTCTGGGAAATCCCCCTAAAGGGGATAATCCTTTACAATTTTTAATGGGTGATATCTGAGGTCTGTGAGTTTTATGCGTTTGGCCCCATATTGATTGCAGATGCTTTTAAAGATTTCCATTTGGCTGACTTTCACATGGTGCAAACTCTTATGGGCTTTGTAAAAGAACAAGCCTAAATCAGTGACCTAAAAGCCATTGTTCTTGTTCAGCGCCGTGCACTTATTTTATGTTAGACCTACATGCTTACTGGCCGTGTCCTGTTGAATAACAGTGTAATATAATAAGAGCAGGGCACTTCCCAGACAGGTCATGAAACATGCATACTCTTGCAGGACATAATGTTCAAAGCCCCATTCCAGCGCATGCAATCAGAGGTGGAAGTTTCATAATCGTTCTCTTGTTCCTGATGTGCCTGATAACGGCCATCTGCTTGTGAAGAACTGTTTTCAGTTATTGAAGCCAGTGCTAAAGTGGTCTTGTGTGGCTGCAGATCTTTCTTATGATTGCATGTCATGCATTTACTTTTAGGTAATTCTACAGAAACAGTGAATACTATGACTCCGTAAATGCAGATGTGTGCTTAACTCATCACTGCTGTAGTGTTATCGCGGTTTACACAGATATTTCCACACCAATTAGAAAGGTCATATCTGAATAGCCTTGGGGCTGAAAGTGATCAGTCTAGTATTCTTCATGGAGAGGAGATGAACCTTAGAGACAGAGAAATAAGTCCTGCTGAGTGTAATAGTGAGTTGTTCTAGATTATATGCTGCCTGTTCATTCTATACTTATGTCAGGAAAATCCTTTATATACAGTACTGTATAAAAAAGCCAGCTGGGAAAAAAAAATCTAATTCTGCTATGGCTCCTTTTATATATGCCGTTGTCGAGATTTGTTTTTGCCTTGAAATATTCTTTTTCACTACTAAGATGCATAAGATGCATAGTCCTAACATAACATAACTTTCTGTCAACACATTGTAATTCTGCATATTAATTGCTGCAGGTTAACAAAACTTCAAATTCTGGAGCTTCGCGAAAACCAGTTGAAAATGTTACCAAAGTAAGTGTTTTTTTTTAAAATTAATATGATGTTTACCTGACACCAATACATAAATGAATGGCATAGATTTTCTTTTTACTTTGTAAGACCCCCATTAACACATGCTGTTCATAGGCCGTTCCTATGTAATCACACATGACAAGTGATGGCTAGTCTCTCTAAAACAGGGCTGGACAACTCAGGCCCTCCAGCTGTTGTGGAACTACTACAAGTCCCATGAGGCATTGCAAGACTGACAGCTAGAGGCATGACTTGCACAGGCATGATGGAATTTGTAGTCAAAGCACAGGTGGAGGGAAGCAGTTGCCCACCCCTGCTCTACAATGAACACGAGCTTTGGCAGTGTCTGGGAAGACGTTGGAGTTGTTTGAGGGCACACCATGTCTTCACACCATGTCTGTTGAGCTGGATTGCTCTGCACACCACCACACACCACCTTACATGTATGGTGTGAACAGGGCACCTAGAAAACAGTTGCTTTCTATATACTCTGATCATACCCTACAGTGGTGTGCAGAACAACACAGCTCAATGGACATGGTGTGAAGAAGCCTTTACTAAAGGAGTTGAGGCTGTTCACTTGGCACATGGGTTGTTCAGTGTGCAAAACAAATTTGGTAATGAAGGTGAATCTGTGTTTACTTGGAATACCCTATCCATATTACCTTACCGGGGCCATACTGCTGCTTTAAAGAAAACAACCCTCCCTTTTTTTTTTACAAAAATCAGAGCACAGCTATGTGCTTAATAAATGTTCTTAGTGCGCTGCTTGCTACAGGATATGGGGAGTAAATATCAGCATTCCCGGTCCTTTATAGCTGGGCCCCTATGTATAACTGGTTTTGTTTTAGTTCTCATTTGTTTTCTACATATGCAATTGATAAACCAATAATAAAGGCTGCATTTCATATAAGAATGCCTCTGTCTTTTCAAGCATTTGTTAATGGACTCGGTATAAGATTAGGGGTGCCCGGTGGCTGCACAGCGAGGTGAAGTATTTTTTCTGGCTATGGCTGTTAAATTGAGTCATTAAGACACACCCTGCATTATGCTGCCAGAGCCAGGATAAGGCTGTTTATTGAACTGGCATTCCACATAATCATACACTTGGATCTCTGTGCATTTCACTGCTCTGTTCATTCTGCATCTGACATTGTTTATCAGCGGACCAGCTTAACAACAATCCTGTGTCTGCTCATGATGTTTTAAAGAAGAAAAGATTCAGCTGGTTGCCAGAAAGAAAAGCAAACAAAGTACTAGCAGTTTGTCAGCTGCAATTCCTCCCAGCTTGGGTCGACCACAATCGGCATCCTTCATCAGCCTGTTTTGGAAGGTCTTGGTCAGTTATGTGCTGCCTTTTAGAGAACTCAGGTTCCATTTACTATGGCAGTAATGGCATTTTGAGAAAAATTTATGTTCAGTTTATATAAAGTGGTAAAAAGGGAAACCAAGTTCACTTTGAATATCCAATCATGTGTGAATTAAGTATTTTTGCTAACATGTGATTGGTTGATTGAATTGAACATGGCTTCATGAGTCCATTGAACATTCCTTTTGATAAGTGAACAGTCTTCTCTCCTATAGGGCACATTCACACTGATTTTGTAATGGTTTCATGTGGTAAAAAGCACCTTACCACAACACACATTAACGCGTGATCCACATTACAGTGCCTTGCAAATGACAGTTCATCCAGTTGTGGGCAACATCCTCACATACATGCACTGCAGTGTACGACAACACTCAAGCCATGCTTTGTAGGTCTCTGCACCTGAAGGGAAAGGGCCTCTGCGGGGTCCCCTTTTTAAATATGTCCCCCATGCTGAAACGCTGAATAAAATGTGTAAAGACACCTGTAAGGGAAAAAATAGATAATATGCTCCCCTTGCTTCTGTAGTGCAAGGGGTGATGCCATTATCCTGCCGAAGGGATCCTGGGGAACTCGGAGTAGTCCAAATATTGCAAAAATATACTGCGGTACAGTGCAGGATCGTCTTCCCAGGGAGATTTGAGCTATTTAGTATTCCCCAGGATCTCCCTGGAAGAAGGACGTCACTCTGACTTAGGCGGGCAAGAGTTGGGAAGAAAGGTAAGTATATTTTCTAACTACTCCCTCCTTTCCCACACCTGTCTCTTTTTTTAAAGTTGACCTGTACTCAAAAAGTGAAGATTTGCTACGTTATACGGAACATCTAGAAATGTATATTGTACCTAAACAGTGTACCTTTCTCTTAAATTCCTTCTGAAAAATAGCAGTGCACTCCTGTGCCTGTAGCCTCTCGAAGCTATATGTGCGGTGTGAGATTTGTTGTGTCATCTGGGCAGGAAGTGAGGGGCAATGTCCCCATTGCACAAACAGCAGTTAAAGAAAAATGACAGGTTATAACCCTTCTGCACAGTGCAAAACAAAAAAAGGCTGGAGTTTTTCTTTTTTGAATTTTTCTTTAAGCAAAAAGTACAGTAAATAATGACATCACAGCGGTACATGGTAAAGAACAGGTAAAAAACAAGAAATAAACAAAATAAGGTCTTTACCAAGCAAATCCAATATTGTCAAAGAGAAGAAATGGGAGCTTGCCCGTCAGAACTTTTTCATCAATATTGCAGTACTTGTGCAGAGAAATAAATCATTTACTAAAATTGCAATGCATAATTACTGTCGTCATGCAAAGCATACAGTATTAGTAAGGGAATCATTACGTGGAAATAAATGCAGAATATAGAATTAATTTAATACCCTGCAGCCCAAGACAGAGAGAGAGAGAGAGAATGCGGCAAACAAAAAGTGGGTCGCCGCATGCCTTCTACTGTGCTAGGTGAGAGGCTTCTCAGCCTCCCCCTAGCGTAGCACTGTCGGTTCTCATGCCAACAACCATTCATATGCTACTTGGCACCGAGTGTCAGCTTGAGGTGGGCTGCAGCTATGGCCGCGAGGGAGCTCCATCCATACATGAATGGCTTACAGCTCCCTCACATGTCCTATAGAGGTGCCTGGACCAGAGTGACACCACGTTCTGGCTCACGGCATCTCTACGGGGAGCACAAGGGGGTTATACAAGCAGTGCACACATGGATAAAGCTCCGTCACAGCCGTGCAGACCACATTGGACCCCAGGCTGAGAATCCACTCCAATTCTCGCTAGGGAGACTGGGTGGGTCTTCAAAAAAAAAAAGTGTTTTTTTTGAGTGTATATGTGTGTGAGATTGTCTGTGGTTGTGTGTGTCTGTCAGTGTTTTTGAGGGTCCGTTCACACTAGTACAGTGTGTTAATCGAACAGTCCTGTGTGATTAATGCACTGTACCAAGCAATCACTCCTACGCCTCCCGTCCACAGTTCAATCGCCTGCACCAGAACGCGCGGTACCGCAATGGCGTGCATTCCATTGCACTGCGACTTGGGTCACAACTTCAAGGCCAAGGATAAATGGGATCCTGAGGTTACACAGGTTGAGAACCACTGCCCTACATAACAGCCCAATAGGTGTTTACATTATTGTTAAGACAGGGCTGGACAAATCCCAGGAGCCAGGTACCCAGCGCTTCTTAAATTACAGCTGGTGCCTAACTTGTGAGGTTTTCTCTAGTTGTATATGGAGCTGGTTTCTAAAAAATAAATAAAAACCCTGATGGCTCCTGGATTGGACAGTCTGGATCCTAAATTCCATATTAATTTGTCCACCCCTGTATTAAGGCAATGTTGCTATTATTTTGTAAGGTTATACAAATCCAGAACTGGTGAGGCAGCATTGGTTATCTTTCTGTCAGGGCAGCAACTTTCAGACCTCAGGGAGCTCCTCAGATATGACCCTTAGATCAGGAGTGGACCACAGACAAATACAGCTAAATAACGGAGCAATCATACATTTTAATTTGCATATATACATGAAAGACAAACTTTGTTAAATTCTTGCATATGCCCAATCATGACCAGTTCTCTTTAAAAGTACATGCAAGTCATGAAAATGTTGCATCCAAACTTACTAGTTTGTTTCCTTCGTAGCCTTAGGAGTTCACAGATTTTACTTTGTTTCTGGAATTGCTTTTTAAGCTAATCTTTGAGAAAAGTGAAATATTTACTTTCCTTACTTAGGTAGGGGTTGTTCAGTGTTAAAGCCTTCACTACTGCAACGTTTACAAGGACTGTGTGAGGTCCAGGCAGTCAAGGGCTGTGTGAGGTCCAAATCGGCTCTCCCACCAGCCACACTGTAACTGTGTTTTTTAAGCAGAGCTGTCTGTCTATTAAGCCAAATATCACCTGTTCCAGGAAAAAGTAACAGCCCCAGTAATATATCGAAGCTATGTTCCCAAAGAGCTAGATCTGTTTGCTGAGGCCAGAAGCTGCCCACAGAAATAACAATCTTGGCAAAATTTCCAGAAGCAGGTGATTGTTGTGGGTACATTTTTAATTAATGTATGAATCACTGTATTTTTATTTTTGAAAATATATTTCCATAGTTTCCAGCAAAAGTCACATGTTATGCAGCATACAGTACATTATATGTAAATAGGGAAGTATGTTGCCACTTACAGGAAACTGTACCATTTACATGTCACTGCAACAGAAACTAAATATCAGTTCCTTTTTGAGTTTGAGAAAAATAAACCTTACTTCAACATAAGTGAAGATTTAGCCAGTATGGGTCATATGATTCTACAAAAAACGTTTTACCACAAAAAATATGATCATATCGGTGCCCATACTCCTATCGATTATCGTTCAGAAATAGTTCAGGAATGTTCTTTCGAACGATAATCGATCAGTTGATGGGAACCCAATGATGTTTTTTTACTATACGCCTTGCAGAATATTCTCGAATGGTCAGGCTTATAAACGTTTTTCTTTAATCGTCCGAAAATTGATGGATTAGTGGCATTTTCGTGCAAAAAAAAGGCAACATAAACACTGCACATGCGCAAACGAAAATCCATTCTGTCAATCGACGAAAGTTGGCGAGTTAGTATTGCTAACGAACGATTATCGAAATGACCTTGGTCTATGCATGATTGGTTATTTGAGCTAGAATCCAAAGAGGGTTCTTGCCAGCACCCAAAAATCCCGAACGATAATCGCAGGGTGTATGGCCAGCTTAACACTGTCACTGGTTACAGCCACATACAGCGTGTCCTAGAACGATGGCCATCCTTTTATACTGACCCAAAAAATTTTCTCTGACTGCAACTAATCATTGTTTTCATAATGGATAATTTGGCTGATTATTTTTTCGATTAATCGGATAGAAAAAGTTAAATGCAATCCATTTAAAATAAAATAGACAAATGAAGTGTCACAAAACATAAAGTTTACTTCAGAATAAAACTGCATGCACAATTTTTTGCAATCGCACTGCACTGGAACACACAGGATTGTGGTATTGTGCATTCCGGTGCGAGCGATCACACTGTTTGTGGGAGGTGCGTTTTTGGGGTACCTTTAAAATGAATGGCACTGCAATGCACCTCCTGCTGCAGAATTTGTCAGGCCGAAAATGACTTTTTTTCCCCTCACCTTTTAATAACTGTATTGTAAGCACATGGCGCTTGAATAGCTTCAGCCAGGGAATGACAGCTGCCTGTGGCAAGATTCTGCAGATGTGAATGCAAATACAGCAGGTAGTGGTGTGGGTAGAAATAGCTAGCCTGCTATTGGCCATTTCAAATTGCAGTAGCCAATAGCAGGCTGGCTATTGCACCTGCCCACGGCATGCTGTGCCCTTTTCCCAGCATGGAGGAGAGAGCTAGGGGATCCAACCAACTAATCGATAATGAGAATAGTTGACAACTATTCTCATTATCGATTAATCGATTGGTTGCAGCCTCAGTGTTTTCAGTTTATCCAAAATCTCTGAAAGTACAGAAATCCACCATCTCTGTAGACACAAGTAAAGGAGTAGAAGTGGGAAGTAAAAAAAAAAAAGAAAATAACTAAAAGGTGACCATTGCTGTCATGTCTAGATTGGTCCTGTCATATGGTCTTGAATAATGTGAGTAGTCAGGTCTGGTGCTGTTTTGTGACCAGTTTATTAGTCTTTAATACTGCACATTGTCCTGATGTCACTGGTTCCTGATTAATTTATTTATGCGGCTGATTATATATCAAAAATGGCACACAAGAATATTTTAACTACTAAAACCCTTTCTCTAACCATGATAAAGGAAGACTTAACTTAATTTATTGTAATTCCCAGCACGGAGTCCCCTGCTTGATGTGTTGGAGCAGTTATCTTTAATTTACAGACAAGTATCAGTCCGGCTCTTTTTGTATTGAGTATTCTGGCTTTATTGTGTTAAGCGCATGAAATGTCATTCTTTGAGTTCTCTGTTCTACCTTTGAAATTATAACCTGATGACTGACATGTTCCTCTTTCAGAACCATGAATAGGCTGACACAGCTTGAGAGACTGGATCTCGGAAGTAATGAATTCACAGAAGTGGTGAGCAGCGCGGGCATTCTGTCCCTGCTAGTGCTTTCATGTGTTATTTTCTTTCCCACGTAGTATACATTAACAGTACATGGCGATTTATTAGGAATTAATCAAGGTGGTTCAACGCAAACAGATCTAACTGAGTTGAGAGGTATTGAGACATCTGTCTGTCTTCTCTGAAGAGAGTTGTACCCCTGCTAAACTCTGCAGTCATCTGCTTAATTTGGTTAATGGATGTTTTGTAGATACAGTGTAAGGTCCATTCTCTGCGCTCCTCAGAAGATAGAAAGATTAGGGATAGTTGCAGAGAAATGTGCAAATGGTTACATAACAAATTCTTAAACATGTAGCCAATTATTTATTTTTGTTTTCTTTGGTCTTTTGTATGACCACTATTTTGCCCCATTTCCATTGCAGCTATAAAGCAGTTCATAATAGGTGGTTCTGACCCTCATCAAACAGAAATAAAATGGTGCCCCCAGCCTTAAGCTACCCTAAGAGTTAGAACAGATGGCACACCGAATGATTGCACTGTAAGTTGACGTCTTCATTGTTTTGACAGAGTAAAAGCTGGCTCCCCTCTCTTTACTGGTTTTATAGGCTGGATATCTGTCAACCATAATGATGCACAAACACTTGCGGGGCAGTTAACTAGCATGTTGGGGCCACATCAACTTTAAACCGACCTGTTTATGGACTAAGGAGGTTTACAGGAAAAACTCAAAGAATATCCATTACATTTAACTAGATGTAGTCCAGAAAGTATATTGCAGATGCAATATATACCTGCCAAGATCTCAGGTGTACCGCACATGTTTTAAGTACTTTTAAGAGCTTCTATATTTATTAGAAATAGTATTCCTTCTTACTTTAATTGTTTTCTTTCAGCCTGAAGTACTTGAACAACTAAGTGGTTTGAAGGAATTCTGGATGGATGGCAATAGACTAACGTATATCCCAGGGGTATGTATTGCATGCCATACTGTGTGTATATGTGTGTAAGAGAGAACTAAAAAAATTGAATGTTTCCAAAGGGCAAGGAATCACCTCAGGCTTTTTTTTGCAGTAAGAAATTTGCAACAGCGGTTTTGTTGTTATGCCAAATTGCGCAACTTTTTCCTAGGCAGTCCCTGCATGCCTGTTTGTCAATTTCTTCCTGTAAGGGGAATTTTCAAAGCGTAATACTGCCCTCCTGTTTTGTAAATGCCCCGAGTTCCAGTCTGTGAATTCTGCTGAGCTTTTACTGTTAATTTCTATTCTGACATTTGTTGAATGACCGTAAGTATGTTTAATGGATTATCATGATCATATCTTTAGATAACCATAGAAGGGTCTTGATGGTGACTAATACAACAATAAAACACTAAAAAAATGTTTTTCCTTTTGTGCATTTCCATTTGGATAATGCATTAGGTTGGACTTGATGGACTAATGTCTTTATTCAACCTCAAATACTATGTAACTATGTAACTATGTTGGATAAACCCTTCATAGAGGAATACCTACAGTGTGCCTATGGTCCTGATTCATTAAGCTGCAACAGCACTTAGGGTGTGCTAAATAGCGCTAAAGGCTTTCTAAAATAACAATATTAAAGCGGAGCTTTGCACTCAAAAATCAATTTCTACCAATGCATCCCTCCATGTATCATGATTAATAATAACATAGACATGTCAGGTGTAAAATACTGTAATTTCTAAATGCTTACACTTGTCAGAGCATTCACTTGCTGCTTTGAAAGGGCAGAATGACTTAAGTTTGCCAAACCAATGCACACTGGGATTGCCTTGTCATAAGCAGAGCATTGCTGGGAAATGTCATCTGTAATCTCAGGGAAAGGCATTTTCCTCCCCTGAGATGATGTGCATGTTCATTTGTCCTAGTCACATGTCTAGTCAAATGTGTCAGAAATCCAGGAAGTAAAATTAGAGCTAGTAATCTGCCCTTAGTAAACATGGCCACTGTCAGAAGACTGAACTCAACATTTCTAAAGGTACATTTGTTGTTATTTTAAAGATATGGGTAAAGGTCCGCTTTAACTGGGAGGCTACTTTAGCATGCCCCAAGTGCACTTTTATAGTGATTTAAGTGCTGCTTGAAGTTTGATGAATCAAAGCCTAATCTAATCAGATGAGAGCAGCATGCCTATTGGCCTTTCCAGCTAAGTGGATCTGTATCCGGATGGCCAGCAATTCTGTTTATCATGTGGTGTGTGTACAGTCAGATTTTAGATAAAGACAAAAAGGACAGGAGCGCAACTACCAAACGTGACGTGAATGGATTTGATTTGGCCTAGTGGATCTATGTAATAAGGATTGTTGGTGGATCTTTGTGTGTGGAATCTGGGTATATATGGCAATGTTGTAGCAAACAGAAGGACTTACGGTTAGAAGCTCCCCCGTGGTCCGTGTGGCGCCCTCCTTTGACAGATCCTGGGTTGAAGAGCCCCGGTGGTGTGAGAGGCTGATCCGTTGGGGGTGGTCTGTCGTTTGATTGGAGGCGGTCTGATCTGTGTGTCGTATATCTCGCCAGGTCCCGGGGGGCTCAGAGGGATAATTGTCCATCGCTATTTGGATCTTCTCTCTAATAAAATGTTTTTATGTGTGTTTAAAATATGTTTGTAGGAGAATTTTATTAGTATTAAAAACAAAAAACAAGGTGGTGGACTGCCCTTGGGTGAATGGAACCTGAATATAAGTGCATGTATGATCACACATGAACACGTATGTATACACAAATATACACACATATATAAATATATACACCCATAAAAAACATATAAAAATATATATATATAAAAACATTTTGATAATAGGGTAGGCATTTTTCAGTGTAAAAAGCCCAGGTGCCTCACATGTCAATTCATACAACATGGACAAACAAGTTTTTCAGATCACCTCAAAAAAACTTATCGGATAAATCAGTTCATCACCTGTTCCCACGACCGTGTGGTTTATGGGCTCACTTGCCCCTGCGGGTTGTTATATGTGGGTAGGACCATACGCCCGCTGCGGGCGAGAATAGGTGATCACAGAAGGCTCAAAGAAAGGGGCGATATTGAGCAGAGTGTCCCGAGACACTTCACCAAGAACCATTTTAAAAGAATCCAGGACCATAGGGTATTTGCCATCGAGCAGATACCCACACATCTATCGCCATCCGAAAGATTTCATCGCCTGTGCCACAAAGAGACTTTCTGGATCTATAAATTGAATACCCTGACACCCGTAGGGCTCAATGAGGAACTAGACATCCACACCATCTTGTAGCCTAACACCCCAACACACCATTATATTCGGGTTCCATTCACCCAAGGGCAGTCCACCACCTTGTTTTTTGTTTTTAATACTAATAAAATTCTCCTACAAACATATTTTAAACACACATAAAAACATTTTATTAGAGAGAAGATCCAAATAGCGATGGACAATTATCCCTCTGAGCCCCCCGGGACCTGGCGAGATATACGACACACAGATCAGACCGCCTCCAATCAAACGACAGCCCCAAAGAAGAACGAAGGGTTATTAAAGGTCACACATCTACATCGGCTTGAGCACTGACAAGTCGCACTCAAGGCGGACCCAGACTGCTAATCCACTCCCCCCACGCGAGCGGCAGCCTATCACCGGGCTCAACGAAACTACACGCCTCCCCCTTGTTATTTTTCCCCCCCCCCTTTTACATTTAAAAGTAGATAGATTTCCCGCGATCTCCAGTATTTTGAGGCTTGAAAAAGAGGTTAACCCTTGAAACGCGTAGCCACTGGAGACACCCGACAGTCTTAAGACTTCTGTGACCAACACTGACATACGGCGCACGGTGTTCTCTAGCCGCGGGTAGCTCCTCCCCATTTTTCTCCGTTCCTGACCGACGCGGCTCGGCCCGGCCAGCCGAGAACGTGGGCGGCCATATGGATGCGCACCCCCAACGGATCAGCCTCTCACACCACCGGGGCTCTTCGACCCAGGATCTGTCAAAGGAGGGCGCCACACGGACCACGGGGGAGCTTCTAACCGTAAGTCCTTCTGTTTGCTACAACATTGCCATATATACCCAGATTCCACACACAAAGATCCACCAACAATCCTTATTACATAGATCCACTAGGCCAAATCAAATCCATTCACGTCACGTTTGGTAGTTGCGCTCCTGTCCTTTTTGTCTTTATCTGTAGTTGTGAATAGACAGGGTCCTCTCCCTGTAGTGAGGAGCTTTGCACACCTACACACAACAGCCACCTAATTGAAGTTTGCCCACCGGAGTGCGCTTTATCCTTTTTGTGTTTTACAAAAACATTATGGACACCACAAGGATGAGGTAGGGCTTGTGTGTGAGTAAATGTGATTAATGAAGCGTTCCCTTTTATATTTACAGTGCATTAAAATGCATTATGGACAGTTTTATAGGTTACAAACATATCTCATATAACATATAAAGGTCAGTATACTCAAAACCAATATATTTATAGGTAGATTCTTGTATGCTGAGTCACCCATTTATTGTTTTATTTCTCTTGAGGATCCCAACAGCAAGTTTCTGGCTCCAGTTCCACGTAACACGGAGGTTGGGACCCCTTATAATGTTTTTTTGGATCTAAGCAAATTCAAACACATAGAACTCAAACAGCAGGAGATAAGGAATAGCTACATAGGTTTACTCTCCAGCATCTGACAAATAGTGAAATAAATTTACGGGTGGATTGGCTTTTGAACTCCACCTACCATTTTATAATAAGTTAAGTGAAGCTGCTCATCATTCCTTTCTGTATTTTCAGCTGCACCTGAAAGTCTGCAGAGGTTTCCTCTGAGTTTCCTACCACCTGCATGGAATAATCTCTTGTTCTAAAAATTCCTTCTGTCATGTAACTTGGTCATTTGGCCTAAAGGTATTTACAGTTCCACCTCTTTCCTTACCTACTGTATTTGTACAAAAGTAAATGTTTACACTTTTTAAATCACAGGCCACCTGCCATTAGTGAGTTAACTGCAATCAAGTAACTAACTATATCCCTTTCCTTCCTTTATCCTGATCTCTAGAGTCATTTTCTGTCACATCTCTCATCTTTTTTTGGGATCCCATCCATTTCATTTCCTCCACCCTACCCTTATAACTTTCCCCATTTGATTCCAGGTCCTCACACTTTATCGATATCCAGTTACTTTAAGAGACAATGTCACCTCTCCCATTAACAACTTAGAGTCTCTTTGCAAAGGGGCATGTTACCAACTTATACTAACCTTGGCAGCGCTCTCCCATCGCTCCTTCTTCCATCACAGTAGACGACAATACCCGATGCTCCTAGGTATGGGCGAGCATGTGACCTCCTTCTATGTGACATTGCTGGTGTCTATTAGCCAATCACTAAGCCAGAGTTCTGTCACTTTTTAAACACTACATTTCACTATACTGTTTTATATTATAGATTACAAACAAATGATCAGGAGGATCAGTAAGTTGTCAACTGAGTTTGTGCATATCACTCGTCTCCTTGACCCAGTATACTGACCTAGTAGATCCACTTCCTACCAGTACCTGAATCTCCTCATGAATGGGATTTCTTTATAGACTTTTACAAAGTAACACTGAGATGCCCTCTTCTTAAATTTCATTAAAACAGCTATCATAAGCTGCCAGGCCCCCAGTTTTAGTTTCTCTGTGTACCTACCTTGCTTATCTTTTGTTATTTCTCATTGAGTTACAATGGCTAGAGGTTATGTATAAATATGTAGTGTAAAAATATAAATCATAATCCCCTCTTACAAATCAAATGTGACCACAAATATTTTTTTTTAAATCACATAAAAGCCCAACATGGAGAGAATTGAATACAACTCGTTGTTGCTACTCAAAATTAGGCCTTTCTATTACTATTACAGCAAGAGTTTATTAGCAATTTAGTATCATATATTTGTTTGTGAGGAAAAAAAATGCTTTCTCCTTGCATTATTTTACTATATTTTACTTTCCCTACATATGGACTAAATGTAATCTAGCTGTCAATCCATTTGGCTACGCCCACATCAAACTTGCATTGACTCATGTGAAAAGCTTATTTTGTACCATACCTGCACTGATAAGCAAGTAGGAACTTGAAAAATATCATTTATAATCAACAAGATGGTGAACCGAAGCCTAAACAACACATATTTTACCTATAATGTAGATATTACATCTCGATTAGACACTCTTGAACCATTTTTTTGTAAATCAGGATATACTTTTTATTTTTATATTTTACTGTATAGGTTGTAAGCCTTATAGTGTTTGTATATTTGAATTTGCTCCTTTATAATAAAAGGTAGCAATAATGTAAAATTTTAAGGCCTGCTGATGTTACAGGGTATATAGCACTGAGCACTGCAAATTAGTACAATTTGCTTCAACACGGCACCGATTTTAGGGAAACACACACAAGAAATGACTAAACAAATAAAAAAAAGTTTTGTCAGAATCAAGCTAAATATTCTTGAGCACAGATCCTTTATGTGTAGCTCACTGGAATGCAAAAATTGATGTTGCACCATTAAGCTGGCAGCAGGTTACTATCATCTAGTGTAGCCGTAAGCAAACTTCAGCCCTCTAGCTGTGGTGCTATAAATCCCATTAGACATTGTATAACTCTGACAGTCACAGACATGACTCCCAGAGCCAGATGCATGCTGTAATTTGTAGTGTCACCAACAATGGAGGGCCGGAATTTGCCTACTCTGGATCTAATGCAAACTATGCACATTTAGAGATACCAGTTATGTACCAACAAGTTCTATCAAATTACAGCATTACATTTCTATCCATTCAAATAAGTCCTTGCACTACAGAGTTGGTAATAAAGCTAAAGAGGGTTGTACAATTACATGGTAATATAAATTCCACCAAAAATAACAAGATAAACATGAATAGCCCAATTGAAGATACAATAACAAAACCAGTTTTTACTGCAATACTCCCCTTAAAGCCAGATAATCCTCTCACAATACTTTTTGCTGCCACTAGATATTCTCAGTCTGATGGCCAGCATCATTCAGCTACTTCATCTGAGTCCAGGTTGTCCTGTACCTATCCCAGCCTATGACTGGAGAGTGAAAGGAGAAGCAGCATACTCATGAGCTCATCACTTTGCTTTCTCTTCCTATTAGCATGTTTCTTGTCAGCACATGAACTTGATTGGCAGCTTGTACTACTCCCTCATCTCCAGCCCTGCAAGAGGCTGAAAACCAAGTCAAATGCAGGTACTTGCACTGTTTGCATTTAAAAAAATGAATTTAATGATGAATGAATGAATGTTTAGCTGCAGTAATTTATGTCTTTTATATCTGCCTAGAGTTCAGCACTAAGTAAATGGTTGACAAATCCTTAAAGCATTTTTGCAGTCCTCTATATGTTAGTTATGTTCCTATTTACACAGCATACTGAAAAATATATATTTAAAATATTTCTCGTCTATTAAATGTTTTATTGCAGCCGACAACATTACAGGTTTTTCTGAGCACCTTCAAAGTGATCTGTCCTTATAGAAAGACTAAAGCTGGTATACACGCTGATATTTTCTTCGTTCAGCCTGCGGACTGTAAATGTAACAGATTCCTCCATCCATGCGAAACAGAGTGGATTGATTAATCTAACACTGTCAGAATACCCAAACTGTGCTTGCAGCTAATTGCCCAAAGATTTTTCAACATGTTCCTTCAGCAAAAGTCATCTGCCAATGGAACTGGGTACACCTGGACCAAATTTAAGCTGATTCCTGTTGAATAGGATGACATTTGCTCTGTGTGTACCCTACTTTAGGACTAAAATTTGAGGATAGTGTTTCTCTCATTAACTACATTTGCATACAGTGAAAAAAACAGGGTTGTAATCCTTTACCCGCTCAACCCTCACAGCTCCTCCTAACATTACAAAGGAGCAAGTAGAAATGTTAACCCTTAAGAAGCCGAGAAATAATTTAAACTGCTAGAAGCATTTTTAATTATTTTTTTTAGCGTATGCTATGTGAATGGGAACATGTAACAAATATAAAATAGGTGTTATCCCAATATGGCTGCAAAAGTGGAAAGTCACACAATCTGCACCAATTAAATGTTGTTATTTATTTTTTTAAATGATTGCGCCAAGAGGATAATGGTGTTAATAAAGTATACGCTTTGTGACATAAAAGTTTATGTGAAATGCAATGCACCACATCAAAGTTAATCAAGTCCGTGTTTATGTGTGTCTATATTTGTGGAGATGGAATATAGCATTTTCCACTGTCAGTTTCTAAGGGGTGGGGCAGGTACAAAAAACCAGACCCAAATCTCTTCATTGCAAACAACCTTTTTCCTCCTCTACCTAGAACTTGTGTGTTTTTACTTTTGCATTATCTTATTTTTTTTCTCCAGGAAGATAGGCTAAATTTACAGCAACTTCAATGTTTGGATCAAACACAGTTGCAGAGATTTCAGTTGTAAAAGTTCACTGTAGCTATACTCTTGTTTGAAAAAGAGTTGCAGAACTTTAAAGAAAAGTACAGAAAGTCCTTGCCGGACTACAGAACAACTCCCCATTATGTTATGGAGATGTAGTCTATAGGAGGAGAACTGGATATGGCTAAGAACACTACTTAGAATTTTGAGGCAAGAACTGTCAGCTCGTTGCAGGATCATCACTGTTGGTCTAAATTTGCAGCATTTTTAAAGGTATTGTTAAAAGAATTTTGTCGGAATTTCTAGGAATTTTTTATTTACAAAAAGTATATTATCCCAAATGTTACAATAAAATTATGCATCCAACATGTACATTGCTCATTCTTTTAACAATATACTTATGATTAAATTTGGATGTGGTACTTTGGCCCAAAAATAAACATATCGATAACTAAGCATTGTGAAAGAGACAAATATGGTCAAATGCACAAGTATTTCAGATATTTCTATGTTCATTTTCTTTATTTTGCCCAGGCATTCATTTTAATTTCCCGGAATACAGTGTTTAAACTGAGTTATTGACATGCCCACTGTTCCCTTTGGGATTATGCATCATTAGAAGGCGTAGTTAGGAAAGAGGATAGCAAAAGAAAAGTTGCCATCACTTCATTGTAGAATCTAATTCTACATAGTTTAATCTTTCCAAATACTGTTTCTTACTGTTAAACAGTGAAGTTCTTATTAAAGCATTTTAATGTGAATAATTCCCTAGAGGCTGTTCTTGCAAAAAGAAAATCAGAGATTTTTCACTTCTTCCAGTCAACTCAGTCAATAAAAGAGGCTTGAATGTCTTCCAGAAATGTCACTCATAATGGCTAATCCAGTGACTGACAGGTTAAAACCTAAAGCAAACTTGTACTAAGAAATATGTAGACTGCCACTGAAGGAACAAGTATGCAGACTAGGAGATCCAACTTCATTCTCAATATCACACCCCCCCCCCCTGTTACATTTAAAAGTAGATAGATTTCCCGCGATCTCCAGTATTTTGAGGCTTGAAAAAGAGGTTAACCCTTGAAACGCGTAGCCACTGGAGACACCCGACAGTCTTAAGACTTCTGTGACCAACACTGACATACGGCGCACGGTGTTCTCTAGCCGCGGGTAGCTCCTCCCCATTTTTCTCCGTTCCTGACCGACGCGGCTCGGCCCGGCCAGCCGAGAACGTGGGCGGCCATATGGATGCGCACCCCCAACGGATCAGCCTCTCACACCACCGGGGCTCTTCGACCCAGGATCTGTCAAAGGAGGGCGCCACACGGACCACGGGGGAGCTTCTAACCGTAAGTCCTTCTGTTTGCTACAACATTGCCATATATACCCAGATTCCACACACAAAGATCCACCAACAATCCTTATTACATAGATCCACTAGGCCAAATCAAATCCATTCACGTCACGTTTGGTAGTTGCGCTCCTGTCCTTTTTGTCTTTATCTGTAGTTGTGAATAGACAGGGTCCTCTCCCTGTAGTGAGGAGCTTTGCACACCTACACACAACAGCCACCTAATTGACGTTTGCCCACAGGAGTGCGCTTTATCCTTTTTGTGTTTTACAGTCAGATTTTGCAATTGAATATCATGAAATAGTACATAAAGGAAAGCTGTGCTGAGCTTTTTATACCCCATCTCTGCTGAAGTCTATGATGATTGATGATTCTAAATCGGTAAATGTGTACAGGGCAGATTGCTCTATTACATGTTCTATTTGTTGCAGTTTCTTGGAAGTTTGAAACAACTGACCTACTTGGACCTTTCAAAGAACAACATAGAAATGGTAGAAGATGGCATCGCTGGGTGTGAAAGTTTACAAGATCTGCTGCTGTCCAGCAATGCCATACAGCAGTTACCAGAGTCAATTGGTAGGTATCTAGGCAGTGGATATATATGACACCTTCACTTTGGGCACATAAAAGTGAATTTACAAGAAAAAAATGTAAATTAGCTATTTGAGTAGCACTCATCAGTGTATTAACTCTGGATGGGTGTTCGTTTCCCTTGCCTGTGTTGCATAGAAGATCACCAGCACTCACAAAGTTCAAAGTGTGGACACTGTGAGTGCTGGTGATCTTCTAGTCAGCACTTTCAACGTCATCTGTGTTATCACTGTGAGCACCACGACTGTGGAAGGTTATAACGCTGTATGGAGTGCAGGTGATCTACTACAACACTATGTTTCCCTTATCTCTTTTGTAAGGACCAGCTGCTTACTTTTCTTGGCAGTCTGGAGTCTAAATAATCACATGCAGTTGCTCTCATAAAACATTTAATTTTTAAAACCTGAAAAGCAGCCCTCCAATACTTACCTGTCCCACTGCTCACCTGCTCCCAGATCTTCAGCATCTGGCACATTGTGGATATGTCGGATGCCTGGTCCCCCACTACACATTGTGACTCTCTCCACAGTCTCCTGTAGTAACTGATGGGCCAGAGGAAGAAAACAAAAAGTGTAGCAAGGAATGCCAGCATCCGATATCCCAACAGTGTGCTTCACGCCAAAGGAGTTGGGTGTTGTGGGCAGCAAGACAGGTAAGTAGAAATGTCAGACTTTTCAGACAGGACTGCTTTTCGGCTTTTAAAAATAGCATTAAACTTGCGTTAGTGTGGTAGTAAAATGCTGTTTGCTTGGTGGGTTTTTGCCATAATTTGAAAATCGTAACCTGCCACCATCCCTACCGCTGCTATTTCCCAGGCATCTTCTTCAGCCATTAATCGGCCACGGATAATGCTACTTCTGTGTTTAGGTTCACAGGAGATACATCCTGCCCTGCATCAGGCCCAATCATGGGATCTTAGAGATACCATGAATGTGCACTGCATGCACTGTACAGTGTACACAGAGAATAGAAAATTGCTAGTGGAAAGAGGAAGAAGTTGTTTAACAGAACAGACTTTGCATATCTCTTACCCAATTCCCAGCAATTTTTTTTTTTTTTTATTTGCACAGGAGATCAGTAATCATGGTCATCTGTCTAAAGGGAAACAGCACATTGAGCTTTTAGTCTAAATACATGCTAAGTACCATGCCAAGTCAACAAGGGGGAAAAAATTACATTTAAGGCTCATGAGTGAATGTCAGCTGGGTGTGTGTACGAAAACTGCTTGTGTTGCTTGTTGTAACCAATGATATTCTTCATATTCCAAAAATTAAAAGGAAGTATCTATGAAGAGAAATTTCTAACTTAAACCCGCTGATGTCTTGGCACATTTCCCTATGTTGTAATACATTTCAGATTGCAAAAAGAGGGGAGGTGGAGTTAAACTTTCACAGACAAGTATTTGGCTCTGTGAGATGTGTAATTTGTACTCTGACGTATCTATGACGCTCTCTGTTTGATTGATTTTTTATTTTGAATGCAGGTGCACTGAAGAAGTTGACCACTCTGAAAGTAGATGAGAACCAGCTCATGTATTTACCAGACTCCATTGGAGGGTAGGTTGTAGGGTTTCACAAGAAAATAGAATAGCTGTGCAGATCACCAGGCAGCATTCTTCTGTATGTTTACACATTACTTGTACAAAGAGTACTGAATTTCCATCACGGGAGCCTGTATGCACACAGCCTCAAATATACACCCCTCTGCTCTGCTATGAGCATGTCAATTATGCAGGGCAGGTTTTCTGATGGTGATAACAGTGGAACATGCCTGTCCATGGTGTTTTGGCATGGGAGAGCAATGTGACAGGGTGACAATGCAGGAGAATATTTGAGAAACAGGGAAAGAACATCGTCATCCTATCATAGGAAGTTTCTTTATGGTAGGATCACCAGGAATTATCCTAATGAAAGCTGCAAATTAAAAAATATTGAAAAGTACTTTTATAATCACATTTTCATCTCAATGCTTATATGAGATTCAGTGATTGGGTTTACACATGAACCCAGACATTAAAATCTCATAATGGCTTTATAAAAAAAAAAAAGAACTTTCTGTCCTATCTACCACTAGTGCCTGTTGGAAAAAGTTGCTCTGTAATTTTCCCCCCTCCCACTGTATGCCTATGAATTTTCACTGAAGGGCATTGTAGCAGGCACACTTCCAGCTGACCCCCTTTATTTGGCAGTCCCCTTTCCCGACAGTCATAGACTTACCATATGCACTTCAGGGGAGGTTGATCACATTTTCTTTTTTCTTGTGTGGTGCAGGCAACTTCCACAGAGCCAATGTCATCTGGATGGGATTTCCTGTAGAAGTCCCAACACCCCTCCCACCTAAATCACACACAAGCGCACAAAATACTGAATCCTACCTAGAAATGCACATTGAGTATAGATAATTACAGACTTGAGTTCTGTTTTAACATTTATATCTGAAGCTTTCATTCAAATAATACTTGGTGATCCTTCCGTGAAGGCCTTGATCAAGAACTCCCTGTCATAGGGTGATAATCCTCTGTCCCTGCCTCCCAGTTGTGCTTCAGCGTTGTAAACACACATTATGCAGGCATGCCTTATAGTTGTCACCATTAGGAAACCCATATGGTGAAATCACTCGCCAGCTTCTTGTATCTTACACTAGAATGGTGAAATGCAGCAGACAGCTGGAGTTATATGCATGCAGACAGGAAGTAGCTGAAAAGAGACCAAAGGAGATCAGTAGCACTGAGATGCAATGACAGGTTTAAAAAAAAGGTGAAAACAAGTATTTTATTTTTGTTTAAAATTTGCAGTGCTTTATCAAAGTAAATGTCATCCAGTTAGATTTTACATCTACTTTAAACACAATCTGGCAGCATTTACAGAAAAGCGTCATCTTGCAGTTTGTGTACACATATTGTACTGATGGCTCTTTTTTTCCTTCCAGGCTGGTTTCCCTTGAAGAGCTGGATTGCAGTTTCAATGAGGTTGAAGCATTACCTTCCTCCATAGGGCAATTTTCTCAGATTCGAACGTTTGCTGCTGATCACAACTTTCTGATACATCTTCCCCCGGAGGTACAGTGCTTGCTTTGTTCATACTCTGTATGTCTAAATGAATTCCAAAAAGAGGAAATGGGAACTCAGTCAAATTTTAACTAGCGAAGAAGAAGCCTGGTGGCGGGGAGTCATTCACAATACAGAATTCCACAGCACTCCACATAACCCTGCTACTCAGCAAATGGAACATGTTATACATTTGGTAAAATGGGTGTGAATTTGATAAAGATCAACATTCCTTCAGGTAGTGTCCTACATTCATACATGCCTTTAGTGTAAGTCATGTAAGGCTTGGTAGCATGTATCCTAAGGTGACATCACCAACCATGGCTAAGGCAGACTCATGCAATCTACTAGTACACACAAGGGTGGTACCATAGGACCCTGCATAGGAAAGGCGGCATCCTAATACAGGATATTTGGACTAGTGCTCAGGGGAACAGCTAATTCTGCAGGAAACTAAAACTTTTAAACCTCAAGGAGCAGCATTCATTGCAAGGGATTCAATACGCATTTGGAATAGGTTAAAAGCCTTTAGACTTTAATATCGTGTTAAACCTGCTGTCTTCTGTTTTTTCCATTTTCTTTCCTTTTCGTCTCTTGCCTTTGGTGCAAGTATTTTAGATTGTAAGTCCTCAGGGGCAGGGCCCTCCTTACCATCTTGTCTTGAATTGTATTGTGATTGTTATGTCTTCCTTATATTGTAAAGCGCTGTGCAAACTGTTGGCGCTATAAAAATCCTAAATAATAATAATGTCTTGTGTTATCATTTACCAGTAGGAGGGGGAGCCATTGTCAGCTTAGGAAGTTTATAGCAGATGCTGGCTGTATTTCATAGCATCCAATTTTAATGTGTTTATTATTTTTGTAGATTGGAAACTGGAAATATGCCACTGTGTTATTCCTGCATTCCAACAAATTGGAGTCCCTCCCAGAGGAAATGGGCGATATGCAGAAACTCAAGGTCATTAATCTGAGTGACAACAAGTAAGTCATGTTTTAGAATTTTGTAATGTTTGCCTTAAATAATAAATGTTTTCTGATGTCTTAGCCAAAGCGTCTAATTTTTAGTGTATAGAAAATATTTATAGATTTAAACCTTTTAAATGGTTTAGGGCTGAAACAACTGATCGACCAAGTTGATGATGATCGATAATGAAAATCGTTGTCAACGATTTTCATTATCGATTAGTTGGGCTCCTCACATGCTTCCCCTCCCCACCTCACCCAGCTCTCATTGATCGAGTTTAAGGGGGCGGGGGACGGCAGCCGGCTCAGCCGCCGCCAGACACGCCCACACCACGATCGTCCAAGGGAAAAGATTTGCTGGTCCCGGTGGGTACCGCTCAGCATCAGGTGAGATGACGGGGGACATTGGGGCTCACTGGCTGGGGCTCTGGAGGTTACTGTTGACAAGAGTAAATGGGAAGCCTGTGTGTGCAGGGAGGCATGGGGAGATTTGAGTCATGATGT